GAAGTGTCTAGGCAGTGTCTGGGAAGTGCCTCGTCGAGGGGCAGCGGCGACGCCTCCTCGCCCGCAGGAGCGAACAGGTAGCGACCGGCCGGCAGCGACGCGCGCCCGAACCCGCCGTACATGCACCCCGCCACGGCCTCGCCGCCCGCGCCGCCCGGATCGGAACCGAGGCCGGCGCCCGTGTCGGTCGGCGCGCCGTCGCCGAGCGCCGCCTCGCCGCCGCCCTCCCGCCACCCCGCCGCCGCCATGCCTCCGAGAACTTGGTCGCGCTCGTGCTGGTCGCTGCCTGACGGAACACCCATCCGTGCGCAGTCAACTCCCATGCCTGCGCTCCACCATGCGTTAGCGTCGTGCGGGTCGCTGCGCCGTGCTGCAGCGCCGTCCGCATCTTGCCCTTGCTCTTGGCCAGCAGCCCGAAAAAGTGCGACTTGCCGCCCCCACCCACCACAGGAGCCAAAGCGCCGCCGCCGCCGCCGCCGCCGCCGCCGCCGCCGCCGCCGCCGCCGCCGCCGCCGCCGCCGCCGCCGCCGCCCTCGTTGGCCGCCGCGAGCCTCGCGTTCTCCTCCCGCAAGTAGCACAGCTCCGCCTACGCCACTCTCGTCCTTCTCCCTGCCATCACCCTCCCCCCTTCCCTCTTCCCGCAGCTAGCACAGCTCCGCCTCCGCCGCCTCCAGCCGGCGCGCCGCCGCCGCCGCCGCCTCCTCCGCCGCGGCGGCGCGCACGGCGAGCGACGCGCTGCCGCTGCTGAAGCGCGAGCGGTAAGAGGACTCCTCTCCCTCCTCGCCCCCGCCCTCCGCCTCCGCCCCCGCCCCGCCGGCCGCCGCCTTGGCAGCCGCCGCCACAGCCTCGGCGACGGCGCGGGTAGCCTAGGGGGACGTGTCTCGGACATGTCTCGGACGTGTCGTGGACAGTGACCTCCGCGGCGGCGCGGGCCGCCTCGCTGCTCTCTGGCGCGTGACCTATCCAGTTTAAACAAGACAACTCTCTCTCACAGCGGACAGGCTCGACACAAGTGCGAACTGGCGAGACCTATAGAGTACCACCATTAGACGGGTCAGTCATTGAATACGAAGAGGTCGCCTCCCTCGCCTCCGGCGCGAGGGTGCCGGAGAGCAAGGGTTAGGGTTAGGGTTAGGGTTAGGGTTAGGGCTGTGGGCTGTGGGCTGTGGGCTGTGGGCTGTGGGCTGTGGGCTGATGGCTATCGGCTGTTGGCTGATGGCTGAAGGAGGTGGGAGGTGGGAAGTAGGCGGTAGGCTGTATAGAGGGTGCCGGAGAGCAGCGGCCCGCCCCCGTCGGCGTCGCCAGAGAGGAGGAGGGTCAGCATGGGCATCAGCACCTTTTAGCAAACGACTCCTCCTGCCCAGCTGTCCTGGTGTGAGCTGCGTGCTGTGCGTCCAGCAGTCCGGCCCGGTGCTACGGCCGGTGGCAGTGTGCCTCGTGTCGGCTCCCGAGCCAATCGTGTGCAGCGTGTGTGTGGGCCGTCCTCCATGCTCCGAGGCGTGTAGCACTGACTGGCTGGCTGTCCTCCTGCCCTCGCGTCGCCAGAGAGGAGGGACACGGTGAGCAAGGGCATCCGCTCCTCGGCTGTACCTCGGCTACATCTCAGCTACTTCGGCTGTGTCTCGGCTGTTTCTCGGCTGTACCTCGGCCACATCTCAGCTACCTCGGCTGTATCTCGGCTGTATCTCGGCTGTATCTAGGCTGTACCTCGGCCACATCTCAGCTACCTCGGCTGTACCTCGGCTGTACCTCGGCTGTACCTCGGCTGTACCTCGGCTGTATCTCGGCTGTATCTCGGCTGTGTCTCAGCTGTACCTCGGCTGTATCTCGGCTGTATCTCGGCTGTATCTCGGCTGTACCTCGGCGGGCGGAAGCGGCTCGGCGGCGGCGGCGCACACGGCGAGCAGGCCGCTGGCGGCGGCCCGCTCCATCTGGGCCGGCTCGAGCCGCGACAGGAGGCACTGGAGGAGGAGGCGGGCGGCGGAGGAGGCGGAGAGCAGCGCCTCCTCGAGCCGCTCGCACTCGGAGAAGAGGCGCGCCTGCGTGGCGCACGTCGACAAGCCAGTCTCACTGAACGATTGGTGACGCTCGCACTCCGAGAGGAGCCGCGCCTGCTCGCCATGGACGGAGTCATGACTGTGTCTGGTCGAGTAGTGGCGCTCGCACTCTCCGAGAGGAGCCGCGCCTGCTCGCCATGGACGGAGTCATGACTGTGTCTGGTCGATTAGTGACGCTCGCACTCCGAGAGAAGAGCCGCGCCTGCTCGCCATGGACGGAGTCATGACTGTGTCTGGTCGATTAGTGGCGCTCGCACTCCGAGAGGAGCCGCGCCTGCTCGCCATGGACGGAGTCATGACTGTGTCTGGTCGATTAGTGGCGCTCGCACTCCGAGAGGAGCCGCGCCTGCTCGCCATGGACGGAGTCATGACTGTGTCTGGTCGATTAGTGGCGCTCGCACTCCGAGAGGAGGCGCGCCTGCTCGCCGCGTGCACGAGACGGCCACAGCCTGAGGCGAGGCGCGCCGCCGCCGCCGCCGCCGCCGCCCGCGCCCGCGCCCGCGCCGCCCGCAGCGCCGACCAGCGCCTCGAGTGCTGCTGCGTCGGGCTGTGAGTTCATCAGGCGGCGGGCCTAGCTAGGGTCGGGGTGAGGGTGAGGGTGCTGTGGGCTGCCTGTCAGGGCGGGGGTTAGGGTGAGGGCTAGGGTTGGGGGTAGGGTTAGGGTTGGGGGTAGGGCTTAGGGTTAGGGTTAGGGTTAGGGTTAGGGCTTAGGGTTAGGGTTGGGGTTCGGGTTTCTCTCCAGGGCAGCTAGGGAGAGGGTGAGGGTGAGGGTGAGGGTGAGGGTGAGGGTGAGGGTGAGGGTGAGGGTGAGGGTGAGGGTGAGGGTGAGGGTGAAGGGTGGTGTCCGGCTTGCGAGGTTCCTCCGGCGGCGTGCCATGCGTGGGAAGGCGGTCCACATAACAAAAATAATAATAATAATAATAATACTGATAATAATAATAATCATCATAATCGCGCCTTGCGTGGGAAGGCGGTCCACAGCGAGAGCAGCTCCAGGGCGCCGATATGGTCCAGCTCGAGGTGCGACTCGAGAGTGTTGAGCATCGCGTCGTTCATCACGCCGAAGACGGCGTTCGCCTACACACGTCCCCGACACCTCCTGGACACTTCCTAGACACTTCCTCATCACGCCAAAGACGGCGCGCTCGCGTCGCGCAGCAGCAGCCCGAGCGGCTCGATGGTCAGCGGCGAGGGCGATGCGAGCTCAAAGGCGTTGAGGGCCGCGTCCAGCAGCGCCTCCCAGGAGGGCAGCTGCTCGAGCAGCGCGCCCAGCGCCATGCGCCTCTGCCTCGACAGCGGCCCGCCGACTGACGAGCCGGAGCCGGCGATCGCGTCGGCCTCGCCGCCGCCGCCGCCTCCGCCCTCCTCGCCGCCGCCGGCGGCCAAGTCGTGGATCCAAGGAGGCGCCTCGATGCGGAGCTGGAGGTACGCGAGGTACGCTCGGATGAAGGGCCCGCGCGCCGCCGCCGAGACGGACGCGAACCGCGTCGCCAGCTCGGCCAGCCGCGCGACAAACGGCTGCCGGTCGACAGTCGAGGAGAGGAGTGTGGCGGCAAAGGCGGGCGAGTGCAGCTGCAGCCGGTGAAGGATGGTTAGCATCTTGAGCACGGCGTCGGCCTGGCGGCCGAGCTCGCCGATGCGGACCGCCCACGCCAGCGCCAGCGCCGGCGGCTCGCGCGCGGCCGCACCCATCAGGTAGAGCAGCTCCTGCGGCTGGAGCGGCGCAGGGCTGTTTGCGGTGGCAGCCCGCAGCGCGGAGGCGACCGACGAGTTGCCGCCTGGCGTGGTCTTGCGCGCGATCTTGCCGAGGAAGCTCATCGCAGAGGCACCGACGGCGGCGCTCTCGCGGGCACAGCTAGAGTCGCCGGAAAATGTATTATCCTAACGGTGTGGGGGCGCGGAGGGCTTGTTGGCGAGCCAAAATGGTGTTTTCCGAGGCGCTGCGCTAGGCTCAGAGCGAGTTCGCGCTGCGCTAGGCTCAGACGGCGAGTTCGCGCTGCGCTAGGCTCACAGATGCGAGTGCGCTGCGATAGAAGAAAAAACAGGGTCGAAACGACAACCGAAGGGAGGACTGTGTAGTGTAATCATGTGTCAAGAATCACGTGCTGCTGCTGCTGCTGCTACTGCTGCTGGCCTGCTGCTGCGCGGCGAGCGCCGTCGCCGAGGCGGGCCTCGGCGGAGAGCGCGATTATGCGGCCTTTTCCGCGACCCGCACAAAGAAGAGGCGCCCTCCGTCAGCCTCGACCTGCCACCGGCTCGCGTCGACCGACCCGGCCGCGTGCCACACCTCCACAGCCCAGTGCGCCAGCCCGCAGAAGTTGCCCTCCTCGATGCCCCATCCCGTGGGCCACGCGGCCAAAGCGGTGCCGAGAGGCGGCGGCGGCGCCGCGGTCGCCTCGAGACGCGCCGCGACGGCGTCAAAGGCGATCCGCCTCGCGCCCGTCGCGGCCGCCTCGGCCAGCAGCGCCTCCCCGGCCAGCCGCGGGAGGTCGCCCTCCGTCTCGAACCAGCACGACGAGCGGCCGTCGGCGCACGCCTCGTCCCACGCCTTGAGCTGGCGGACAAAGGCCGCCCAGCTCTTGAGGCCGGGCGAGGCCGCGGCGGGCGACGGGGCAAGGGAGCAGCCGGGCGAGGAGAGGCAGGAGGTGCTCGCCGGCGAGCGCTCCCGCGCCTGCGAAGGGGCAAGGCCTGAGGGCGGGCGGGCGGTCGGGCGGGCGGGCGCGGGTGGGGGGGATAAACGCTGCGCCGCCAAAGGAACCAGCGACACTGGCCGCGGCTCGTCGCCACGCGCCGGCTCGGAAGAGGGGCTGTCGGCGGCGAAGCAGAGTGGCACGCCTCGCCGCTCGAGCCGCCGACAGCCCCCCTCCTCGACGTGACGGCCGCTCCCGGAGCCGGCCGGTGCGCGCCTGACCCACGCCCCCTCTCGCACCCCTCCGACCCCCCCTGCGCGGCGCACCCGTCCGCTGTGCGCCGGCTCGAGCGCCTATTGCCAAATCGCGACGTTTGAGCGCAGCGCACGCATCCTCTGGGCGCCTGAGCGCGGCGGAATCTTGCCAGAATGTGGCCGCAGGAAGAGCCTCCGGCGGGCCTCCGGCGGACGCCTGGCGGCGTGGCGCTGCGCGCCGGCCTGCGGCCCAAAGCCCGAACGAGCGGTCAAGTTAACTTGACGCGCCGAATCCCTTGGTTGGCCCTCGCAGCTGTGATACAAAAGTGGGGACGCGCCTGGCGGCGCGCCCCCAAAAAAAGAAAAAGGACGCCTCCCGATCATCCTCAAAAGACTCCCTTGGGTTGTCTGTTTTCTTTCTTTCTTTCTTTTCAAAAGACACCGCCACATTCCTGAGACGCGCGAGGGCAGCCTCCTTAAAGGCAATGGGGTCTAGATTCGGAGCGCTCGCCGAAGGGGAGTACTTTATGCACATGCACATGTGCAAATGCAAGAAAAGTATTCCACCGCGGCGGGTGCGCGATGTTGTTGGGGATCATAACAATCCAGCGCGGATCGTTGGAGGTCGTCCTCTCTCACATGACATGTACATGCACACACCGGTTCATGGAGAGGCACAGATGTCGCTTTGCTACATCACGCTCTCACTCCCCTCGACTCCTTGGCCGCGCTCCTTTGCCTCACGCGCATCCTCCCTGGGCTGCCGATGGCATCGTTCATGGCTTCCCCTCCCGAGTCTGACGCGCCTGCTCCGCACGTCACCGTGTCCGACGAGGAAACGTTGATGTCGCAAACCTCGTTGCCTTCAAGAAGGACTCGACGCACATCAAGACACACGTCACCGGTAATGTAACCTTCGACATTGCGTATGAGCTGACCGTGCTCACAATCTCCGGGTTTGTCCACCTGTCTGAGGTGAGGCGTGAGGGACACTCGGCTCTCCGTATCGTAGATCCGTATCGCACTCAACTAGCCGCGCCGACGTCTGGAGCACAGCCGCCAACTTCCCCTGGATAATGACGAGAAACTCGGACCCCCGCAAGAGGTCCTCACGACCAAGAGGTCCTCACGACCAAGAGGTCCTCACACGACGAGAGGTCCTCACGCCAAAAAAGCTGATCCGTCATAAGAGGATAGCATGGTTGCGCGCGCCCCTGGCCTCGACCCTAGACGCACCGGCCCGCGCGTGCTGTGACCCCGCCCTGAACCACCCCCCTCCTCCATCCCACGGCTGAGCGCATTGTCCATTGAGCAGATTAAACTACAAGATTCAAAAGTGAAGTTATGTAAAAGGAGAGAGGTGAACGTATGTGAGGGTTGGTGTGCGGCTCGTGGTCTCGACTCGAGTGTGTCTGCATTTTCTCATGAACATATGTGTTGCGGATGCGGTTGCCTCGCCAAAAAAATGTGGCTCTTTTTTCTTTTTGTGCTGTGACATACGTTTTTTTGCGTGCGTTGATGTAGAATTCTTTTTGCGAAATGCAAAATTCTTTTGTGGTGCTAGTTCGTGCCTCTGCTGTAAGAAAGTCGCAGAATTCTTTTTGTGCTGCGCGCGGACGAGGGTGTGTGATAATATTGCATAGCGTGGATTCGTTGCATTCGGCCGGGGGGCTCGCTGATCGAGGCCAAGGCACGGTCCACATCGAGAGAGAGAGAGAGAGATTTTTAGCAATACCAAACAACTCTAACACTCACACGTCATTTGGGGCCTGGAGCCCTGTTCACGCGCGCGCGAGACGTGCGACAGGGTTCAAACATCGATGTGAGGTCCTCACGAGAGGTCCTCACAGGCGAGGCAGGGGTCCTCATCCCCGAGGACCTCGGCGCCAGAGGCGGCCTCTCCTCCACTGAAGTGGCAGTGTTTGGCCATCATGCGCGGTGGGAGTCGGCAGAGGCGGCTCGCGTGATGATCGACGGCGGGGCGGCACTCTCTGGGCGGCACGACGCACTGGCATTGAGCTCATGAACATGTTCATGAATATTGCAAGAAGGGTATTCCACCAAAAAAAGCTGCGTGACCTCAATGCCAGTGCATCGTGTTGACCTCAATGCCAGTGCGTCGTGTTCATTGAGGATGGCTTCCTCAATGGGTGAGCTTCCCTCCCCAAATGTCGCTGGGACCCATCACCGTGATCTTCCGTGGATTCGAACCACAGATCGGCT